GTGAACGCCGCAGAAGTGAGAGAAATGGTTGCGGAGGCCCGATCCAGAGGCCTCTTCCTTATGGAGGTGAGGGCACATAGGTTCTTCCAACATCCAACATGGCACTGCTTGCCATTACTAAACATGGCTGTCGGTGGTCACTTGTGAAGACACACATTGAGAGGGTTTGCCAGTAGTTAACATGGACACAAAATGAACTCGGGTTAGTGGCTTTGCGCAGGACAGTGATGAGCTGTGACATGGAATCTGCTGGTAGCACCTGTCATGGTGGGAGCCAATGCTTTTGAACCTTAGCAACCATGGCCGCCTGAAGGACCCCATAGTTGATATTGAAGAAAGATGTCAATGGTGAAACTGGTACAGATGACAATGAGCTCAGTTTTGGAGGATTTACAAGGCGAGGACAGAAAGATCAAGACTCTCCCCCACGAAACTCTATGTCAAGCAGCTATTGATTTTGCCTTTAGCAATGTTAGCTGCCTATGGGTCCTTAAAGAAGCAGTGGTGGCATAGTGGGTAAGGCATTTGGCTGCCAACCAGAAGGTTAATGGTTCAAACCCACCAGCTGCTCCATAGGACCATGACACAATCTACTTCCGTAAAAGAGTCACAGCCTTGGAAACCCAATAGGGGTTGCCATGAGTTGAAATCGACTTGATGGCATTGTTTCTTTTTTTTTTTTTCTTTTTCTGGTAAGGAGCCCTGGTGGCACAGTGTGAACTGTCGCCTGCTAACCAAAAAGTCAGCAGTTTGAACCCACCAGCAGCCAGCCAGTCCTTGGGATGGAGAAGCAGCAGTGGGATTCCATATAGATAACAGGCTTGGAAACCCTGTGGTGCAGTTCCACTCTGTCCTCTAGGGGCGCTGTCAGAATCGACTCCAGGGCAGTGGGTGTGGTTTGGGCTTTGCTTCTGTGAAGATTGACAGCCTTGGAGACCCTCTGGGGCAGTTCCACTCTGTCCTCTAGGGGCGCTGTGAGTCATGGGTGTGGTTTGGGCTTTGCTTCTGTGAAGATTGACAGCCTTGGAAACCCTGTGGGGCAGTTCCACTCTGTCCTCTAGGGGCGCTGTGAGTCAGAATCGACTCCACCGCAGTGGGTTTGGTTTGGGCTTTACAGATTGACAGCCTTGGAAACCCTACCTGGCAGTTCTACTCTGTCCTCTAGGAGCACTTAATGGGTTTGGAATGAGTACCAGACCTAAACGAAGAAGTAGGGCTTAGCATTAAATAAGACACAGGGTCAGTGGGTGAGGAGCTCCAGGATTGGTACGGTCATTGAAATGGACAATCCTAATGGCCAACTGCATGGCGTTTAGCAGACACAGTACATGGTGCTTGTCAGAACCTCAGATTCCTACAGAGCAAGTAAAGGACCCAGCTCCATAGAGCCAGAGGGGCAAACAGAGCTCGGGCTCCAAGAAAACAAGAGCGGGCAGGTTTCATGTAGTTAGTGTGACCTTGACCTCGGACTGGTCCAGATGCCAGAGCCTATAGACTGCCGTGGAATCTATTCCAACTCACAGCATCCCTAGAGGACAGAGTGGAACTGCACTACAGGGTTTCCAAGGCTGGAAATCTTTATAGAAACAGACTGCCACTTCTTTCTCCAACCAAGTGGTTGGTGGATTCAAACCGAAGGCCTTTTGGTTAGCAGGAAAGGGCTTAAGCACTGCACTACCAGACCTCCTTTTACCTGTAATACACGCTCCAGAAATGGCAGCTGGTATGAGGCAATGAGGAGCTATAGAAGGTTATTGAGCAGGAGTGGGATGGGGTCAGCTCTATGAGAAGGAAAGGTCCTGCCAGGGCCATGTGGAAAATGGACTGGAGAGGAAAGTTGGAGGCTGGGAGAGTGGGATGATGGGCCAAGTGAGAAGGACAAGGCCACAGTTACTAGAAAGGAGAGGCAAGGATAGGGCCGAGAGACTCAGGGCTGCAACCCCTGAGGAGGAGTCTGGTGTTGAGATGGAAGCATTGACTACCCTCAAGATTGGGACTCCAGGAGAAACCCAGCTGGGGGATGATCTAATTGGCAGCACCCGGGGCCTGACCCCTCTCCTGGCCTTTGGCTGTGTCCTCACCTCTGTTTTCTGTGGTCTGCAGGCAATCTGGACCCGGTTTTTTCCTGCCTTAGAGGCTCTGAGGGCCGTTCTAGCCCAGGGAACTCTGGGAGACCTTCGAGTGGCCCGAGCGGAATTTGGGGCAGACCTCACCAAGATGGCCCGGGCCACAGACTGGGCACAGGCTGGCGGGGGCCTGCTGGACATTGGAATCTACTGCATCCAGTTCATTTCCATGGTCTTCGGTGGGCAGAGGCCGGAGAAGATTTCAGCCGTGGGAAGGCGCCATGAGACCGGTACAGTCTGTCCTGGACTACACAGTGAGGAGCCCAGGGGGCGCAGTGCTTAAGCATTTGGCTGTTAACCGAAAGAGCAGCAGTTCCAACTACCCACACAGTCCTCAGCAGAAGGGTCTGGTGACCTGTTCCTGTAGACTCCAGCCGAGGGAACCCTGTGGGGCAGTTCTACTCTGACACACGGGCTCACCATGAGTTGAAAGCACCTCAAAGACAGCAGGTGTTTGTTTCTTTTAATCAAAGGCCAGAGAAGGTCTTAGCCTCTGAGATGTAAATCTCTGTTTAGGAGCCCCGGTGGCACATTGGTTATGCACTCGGTTGCTGACCGAAAGGTCGGCGGTTCAAACC